CAAGTACCACAAATGTTCCCAGATATCACCGATGTAAAAGCAACGAGTCAGCTGCACTCACCTTGTACACATGATCAAGTGTGAGGCATCGATTGGCTTCAGGTCGGATAGTCCAGAAAGACTTTTTACCATCTGGAGACGTTTCACGAATGAACATGTCATGCACAGAGAGGTTATGGCGGATGGAATTCTGCAATTATAAATGAAAAGAAAAAGTATTTGAAAACTGCTGCTTGCTGCAGAGCTGTGAACATATCACACTTTCAGCAGCTCTGAAGTACCTTCCAGCCTGGTTTGGCCACATCTCTATAGTAAGGGAAGTTGTTCTCAATCCACATGCAAATCTCTTTGAGGGTCATCCTCCTGTTCTTTCTGCTATTGATAGCAAACTGGATCATGGCCATGTAGGAGTATGGTGGCCTCTCTGAAATGGGTTGCTGAGGAGCTTCTGCACCGGTATGTGTATTGTGTGCCTATATGACAAAAAAAACAAAGAAACAAACAAACAACAGTCAGTAAATTTGACAGCATAACTATTTTCTGTAATCGGACTACTATTGCTGTCATTATAAATCACAACCATGACCAATTGGTTAGGAAAGAGAGTTTAGGGAACATAAAGCAACATGTCTGGGGTTAATGTTGCCTTCAGACAGGTTTGTGTCGGCACATAAAAGGGGGAAAAAAGCAGGTGACAAGAAAAAGCTCTGAACCTCAAAAGTCTGTAAAGAGTTCTGGTTCTCCTTGCTGCTGAGCTGCTTTGTAGAGTTTGGCTCCAAGGCACATGTGCTCATCCTACCCAACCACTTAAGGTCGGTAAGGCTGTCGTCAAAGGGACCGCAGTTTACATCCTTATTCACTAGTAAAGTAAAAGGGGAAAAAACATTGTTGCTTAAACAGAGGAGGAGTTAAATACAGATTATCAAATCAGACAGAGAGAAAAACAAGCACTAAATTCCACACTTATACTTTAAGTATTATCCTAAACATTAATAAAAAAAAAATTTTCCGTACATGGATTAATTTCAGTTAGAAGTTTGTCACCTGGGAAACTGCGTGTAGCTTCAGCTTTGACTGTATGTCCTTCTGTACTCCTTGTAGCAGCCGCTTCAGCAGCAGACTGAGGATCAGCTCCATAGTCCCACTTGTTGCCACTCCCACTCAGAAGAATGAACTTGTTTGGGCCCTGGGCACCACATTC